CCATCACTCGCCCCGGGGTGCACGCAGCCTATCAAGCTCCCTGCTGCAGTGAAATCCTAAAAATAGCTTCTGTTTGTTCAGTTCCTGCTACATATGTGCCAGGCCCTCCACTGGGCACTTTCCCATTAATATTTCAGCATTTTTGAGAATCCACTATATCAAGCACTTACCAAGTTCCATATTAATATTTTTATTAATTATTTAGAAAAATAATACAATGTAAACTCTATGGACACATGGATGGACCTATTTTGTTCACTGTTGTGTCTTCAATGCCACAAACAGTGGCTGAAGAGAACATCACCATTATTCGTATCATTATATTGATGCAGAACAGATCATTAGGGAAGCAAGGCTTTATGAGGAGGAGTGTGGCATCAAGACTGGAGGAAGACTCATTAACTACCTACGATATGCAGATGACACAACCTTGCTTGCTTTAACTGAAGAAAACCTGAAGCACTTGCTGCAAAAGGTCAAGGACTATAGTCTTCAATATGGACTGAAGCTCAACATCAAGAAGACAAAGATTCTCACCACTGGGCCAGTTGGAAGCATCACATTAAATGGAGAAGGGAATGAGGTTTTTAGCAATTACAGCTTGCTTGGATTCACAATCAAAACTCTTAACACCAGCAGTCAGGAAGTCAAAAGACTAATTGCACTGGGAAAGTCTGCTGTCATGGACCTCTTCAGAGTGCTGAAGAGCAACAATGTCAGTCTAGAGATTAAGGTGTGCCTAATCCAGGCCATGGTCTTCTCAATTACATGTCATGCTTCAGAGAGGTGGACAATGACTAAGGATGACAGAAGAACAATAGATGCCTTCGAGTTGTGGTACTGGAGAAGAGTCTTGAACATACCATGGACTGCCAAAAAAACAAATAGTTCTGTCTTGGAGAAGATGCAGGTAAGTCTCTCCTTGGAGACTAGGATTTTGAAGTTCTGCCTCACTTACTTTGAGCACGTGGCCAGGAGAAATCAGTCCTGTAGAAGGACATCATGCTCAGAAGTGTGGAAGGACAGAGCAGGAGAGGAAGACACCAGATGAGATGGATTGACACAGTAACTGGGGCAATGGGGGGGTGGTGTGTTGGAATTAGTGAAACTAGCTCAGGACAGTAAAGGGTTCAGAGCTGCTGTATATAGGGTAGCTATACATTGCAGGCAACTCAATGGCACATAACAAAATAACATACTATGACAGGTTTGGAAGCAGGAGTGGCATCCACTTCCTAAATAACATGCCTCCAGAAACTCCGTGAACTTTGATAAATGTCGATAGTTGTAGAGGGGCCTCAGGCCTTTTGTTCATAGGGTCACTATGAGTCATGTTCGACTTTAAGGCAATCAACAACAACATAATATTTATAGTAATAATTATTGTTGTATCTCGCATCTGGTGTGATGTTAGAGTGTGCCAGGCCTCACCCTGTAGTTGATGCATATTTTGGTCTCTCTGGGAGAAAGAAATTGAGTCTTTTACAAACATACACACACACACACACACACACACACCAGACAAAGAGAGGAAATAGAGGTGCTAGGTGGAGGGAAAGATGGTAAAGCTTTGTCTCACATATTTTGGACTATTATTAGGAGAGGATATTCCTTGGAAAGGGACCTCATGCTTGGAAAGGCGGAAGGTCAGCAAAGGAGAGGAAGACCCTCAATGAGATTGATTGATACAGTGCCTGCAACAAAGGACTCAAGTGTGTTGAGGATGATAAGGATGGTGCAAGATAGGACAAAGTTTAGATCTATTGTTTATACGGTCACTAGGAGTTACACTTGACTTGATGACACATACCAAGGTTTAAGGTCCATAGGCAGCAGAGATGGGGTTCAGACCCGGGTCACAGGGTTACACTCCATCCAGTGGAAGGCACAACCTTTCTGAGGAAAATCTCAAGTTATATGAGTGCACAGGAGAAGGATAAAGGAGCTTCAGGTTATACAACCACAAAGTAATAGCTGCAGAGGAGTCGCTGAAGGCAGCTCTCCTGGTGTGCTATTTATAGAACAATGAGTTCAGAGTTCCTGGGAAAGACAGAGCGAGGAGTAGCTACAGACCTCTGCCAGGAGATGGCAGGCCTTTGCTGATGCAGTCACAGGGCCCCCAGAGGCTGTTGGTCTTGGAGCACCCCAACCAGCCAGAATCCTCCTTGAATATGTGAAAGTCTACTCCCCAAGTCTCTGGGGCCACTAGAGTTGAGGGAATTATCACTAACCTTTGTATCACAAACACCAAGCCAGAGGCTCCACCTGTATCTTTCAATGCTCCCATCAACTTTGTGGTCATATTATCCCCATTATACGAGAAGACAAAAAAGAGACTCCATAAAATTAAGTAATGTGCTCAAACTACTTACTGGGAAAAGGCAGCACTGGATTCAGGCTGGGGTAACTGACTCAGGAAAAGCTAGACAGAAACTACCTTGTAAGCTACAAAGACCGTTCAAGGAGGACATGAGTAAGTCTGAAAATTCGTGGGAGGGCCAAGTGGAGCTCCTGGGGCTTGAAAGGACACATGCTGACTAAGAGGTGGAGCACCTTGCTTCAACGATTCACCATCATCTTGTAAAGTTCCTTCATCAAATGCACATTCCCGAGGAGGAAGCCAGGTTTGGGAGATGTTAAGTGATTTACCCAAGCAGGTAAATGATGGCATCAAACCATATCACACCCAAATCCCTCTTCTCTCCCCACTATTTAAACCTTAAAGAACCATTCAGGACAAGCAAAAGAAGTGTGACTTCTCAAAGACAGGATAAGCTCAGTGAAATGCTTTTGTAAACATCAGATTGTATCATGGATAGCAAGTCACTCATAGATTTGGGTGAGTCACAATGTTCAGAGAACTTCTCACAGAAGCCTTTCAACAAGCCAGCCCTTAATGGTCCTGAGACTAGGTCTCTGGGTCATGCAAGAGTTCAATTCTACCAAGGGTATCACGAAAGAAAGGCCTGGCAATCAGTTTCCAAAAGAGTCTTACCAAGAAAACTCTATGGAGGGCTGATCTGCTCTGTAACACATACAGCAGTTATAAACAGAAGCAACTCAAAAGCAATGAATCTGTGGGAGTTTTTTGTTGTTGAAAACATATACCAAGTCAACTGATTCTACATGTGCAAATCAGTGACATTTATTACAATCTTTGCATTATATTACTGTTCTCACCCTCCTTTTCTGAGCTGTTCCTCCCTCCTTACCATAAACTCACTGGCTCCTAATATTTCCCCTAACATTTCTATCTAGTCTTCAGAGTTGTTGCCTTCATTTTGACCTTGTATACACAGTTCTTTAAAGAGCTCACAGCAGACAGTTTTTTACTGGTTCAGCTAAACCATTGTTTAGTTTTAAGAACACTTTGCTTATATTTTTGGCTTAAGACTTAAAGACCATGTCAAGACAATAGATTCTGGGGTTCACTCAGCCCTTAACAGCCCCACAAAGTCTGGAATTTTCTAGTCTGCTTTACTTTTTCTCTTTTCTCATCTGAATTGTCATTGTTGTGTACTGTCACATCAGAACTCATTCACAGCTGACCCTCTAGAGGGTTTTCAGAGGCTGTAAATTGCACAGTGGGAGAGTTCCTCTCTCTCCCTGAGAGCAGCAGATGTATCCTAACCACCCGCCATTAAGTTCGACAGCACAATTCCTTCCCCACTAGGCCACCAGAGTTGACACAATTAGCAGGCCCCAAAGAAGGAATGGTGGCACAGTGTTTAAAGCTGTTGATTATAAGGTCAACAGTTCAAACTCACCAGCCTCTCTGAAGGAGGAAGACATGGCAGTCTACTACATTAAAAGTTTACAGTCTTGGAAAAAACCTTATGGGACAGTTTTCTATCCTCTAAGGCCACTACTGAGTCAGAATGGACTCAATAATAATAGAGGGTGAAGGCAGGCCCTAGATCTAAATTCTATCGCCAAGTGGTAGGAAGCTGCACTGCAATCCAGAAGGCACACGGTTCAAATCCACCAGCTGCCCCATGGGAGAAAGATGAGCAGTCTCCTCCTGTGTGATTAACTGCCTCAGAAAACTCGTTGGAGGATCAGCTCTGGGTCAATTCCGACTCGATGGTCCACAACAATGACAGCAGGTCTAAATTGCACTGGCTTATCCTCTGATGGCTTTCCTCTGCCCCTTTAGTCATTGCACAGGTGAGCTGTCAGGTGGACAGGGAGGTAAGGAAGCACATTCCTCCCCATCAGACTCTGCAGCAAAAGAAGGGTGGTCTGCTCAAGGGCAGAAGGGAAGCTGAACAAAGTAGAATTGTTGGGAGCCAGGAAAAGCAGCAGAGAATGGAATGCTTCCCTTAGAGCTGGGAGAAGGATGTTGGAGGAATTCCTAAATGCTCCAGTTCACAGCAGCAGCTCCGGAAGCAGGGACCCTCCAGCGTAGAGTAGGTCTTCCTTCACTTCAACTCAACCCACCTGGCACACCTTAACGCCTCCTGGCCTAGTGGGAAGGATGTGCACATGGTTCAAGTCCACCAGCTGCTAAACGGGAGAAAGGTAGGGAGTTTCCTCCCTCCCATGTGATTATATTGGCTCTGAAAATCCACTGGAGGGTCAGCTAGGAGTTGGTTTTCTGACTCGATGGTAAACGACAACCACCTGTCCACACGCTATCTTTCCTGGGTCAGCCTAGCATAGTTGCCCTGTGCCTCAGTTTCCCCATTTGTGAGGCAGAGATGGTTACATCACCCTCTCCCCAGGCCTTCCCTGGAGTTAAGAACTGTGGAAAGCAAGGGCTGATTCTTAAATGACTGCCCCTGAGCAGCAGGCCGGCTGCAGGATAATGGCAGGCCACCTGACACCTCCGCCTGCCCCAGGCCCTGCCCTGGAGCCATTATGTGCCTGCGGATGGGCTGAGGCGCTAGGCTCAAATTGCCAACAGGTCAGCACCTATGTGGCTTAGAACAAGGCAAAATGGTTTCTAAATGTAGCAGCCGAGGCTGAGGTTAGACAGAGGGGAAGCGCAGGCTGTAAGAATGCAGGAGCACAGGGTAGAGCAGGGAGAAGGTTTTCAGGCTCCTCCACGGGAGAACTCGGAGGGGCCTCTCCGAGCGGCTGGGCTGAGGGAGATCTGGCGGGACAAGGGCAGCAATCCAGAGAACATTGGGAAGATGGAGAGCCTAGATATCTCCTTAGAACCTTCCATGCGCTCAGTCTGTGGCTCTACCGCCAGGCTCATCTCCAGGGGGCTGCCCCCCACCTCCTGTCCCCGTGCCCCCCTCTCCTTGCCTTACCTGTCATGGCTGAAGCACCCAAGAGAAAGGCGTCTGGTTCTGACTAACATCAAACTGCCCTTGAGCTGCAGGTGGAACCAATAAAGCTACTTGTAGCTCAAGGTTACTGGTAGGAAAGCAGAGTGAGGACCATCAGAACCCCTTGAACACCTGAGCCAGCCTGCAGTGGAGCCCCACTCTGCAAGGTGACTGAGCAGCCTCTGGGTCCCCAGGCTCACCTGGAGAACTCCCCACCCCCTCCCCTGGGCCTTCCCCCACTGCCTAGCCATGGGTCTCCACAACATTGCTGCCACTTGTCAGAGCCACTGAGGACCTGTTTGGCCCATCACCTAGCAACAGTAGCATCCTTGACTCTAGGGTTTCCTTCTGAGACCATAGAAGCCAAGGCTGGGCCCCTGGGAGACCAGAACTGCTGCTGATCAGGGTGGTGGTTGTTGTTGTTGTTGTTGTTGTTGTTGTTGTTGTTGTTGTTGTTGTTATGTGCCGTCGAGTCGTTTATGACTCATAGCGACCCTATGTACAACAGCCGGAAACCCTGCTCTATCCTGTGCCAACCGCATTGCCTCTGACACACCCACCCCGATTACCCCAGTCACTGAATTAATCCACCTCATAGAGGGTCTTCCCCTCCTGCGCTGTCCCTCTACCCTCCCAAGCATGATGTCCCTCTCCAAGGACCTGTCTCTCCTTACAACATGTCCAAAGTATGTCAGACGGAGCCTTAGAATCCTTGCCTCCAGGAGTAGACTGGTTTAACCCTCTCTAGGCTGGATCTGTTTGTTTTCTTGGCAGATCAGGGTAGGGACAGAAAATCCCTCTTTATGTGTCCCTACTTTTCTTTGATTCCCAC